TGGGGCCAGGGGTGCTGCCAGCTCACCTTCCTGGACTCCCAGCCACCCTACAGGACAGAGTAAAACTGCTCCTTAGGGTTTCCGACATACAATTCAGTCATTCAATCGTGTCTCAAAGACTTGGACCGTCATTACCACAATCCGTTTTAGAGCAGTTTCTCCTTGTGATCGAGCAGCTCCTCATTTCCCCCAACCCACCCTGCCAGACCCCCATCTGTACCCTCACCAGCCTGTCTGGTGACTGTCTTTCCAGATGCCCCTTCTCAGCCTCGCTCCATCCAACTTCCCTGAGACCCCGGAGCTACGGCAGGGCAGGGAGGGGACTGTGACCTGGACCTGGGGCGGGTTGGGGGTGGGGGGCAGAGTGTGGACAGCGAGGGCACTGGAGGGGGCCTAGGGATGGGTTGGGGTGAGCTGCACCCTGGAAAGCGCTGGGGGTGGGCAGGCAGAGAGAGGTCATGGCGACCACAGTGCTAACCCTGGAGATGTAGCCCCAAGGGACTTGCAGAAAAAGACAAAGGTGGGGTAGGAACCGGAGACCCTGGAGACCACAGACTCAGCCTCCCTCTTTGCTCCCTCCACAAGAAAGCCTCCCAAGATGCAGGGGCTGGCTCCAGAGCATGGGACAGTGTCCAGGCAGCAGCAAGGACAGGGTTGGAGCCTTGCTCTAGTGCAGCTGCTCCGTCTGACTGTGAGCCACTGGAAGCCCAGAGAGGGAAAGGGGAAGGGTTATGCTCAAGACCACACAGCAGTGGGCAGCCCTGCTGGGGCCCTAATCAGAGCCTGTGGATCACAGCCAGAGCTTTCAACAAAGCTGGGCACATCCTTCACAGAGCTGCCTCGAGTGTGTGCCCTGACTCCAGCTGCAGTGCCCCCACACCCCGAGAAAGCAGAGGGGTACTGTCCACCCAGATCTGCAGCTAGAACAGCTGACAAAAAACACTCAGGGACCTGGTAGCATCTGCTACCTTCTGACCACCCACCCAGCCCCCACCTACACTGCTGGGGGGGGGGGCGTGTGTGTATGGATAACCCTTGCATACCCCCAAGTGTCCACGAAAGCCAGGCAGCAGCCTCAAGCTGCCTCTCCTGCCCGCCTGTCCCCCACAGCTGCAGCAGGCTGGGCTGAGAACTGGGTCACGTGGACACCTGGGTTCCCCCGCTGCCGCTGAGGTCCACCCAACCTAGGGACCCCTTGAAGTTGCCCTGTCTTTAGTAGGGGTGGGAATCTCCCTTCTGAGCGAGGCCGGGCATGACCTGTTGCAGTAACCTGGAGGGGCGACTCCTCCACTCCGGAAGGGGCCAGCCCTCTCAGGGAAAGCAGAGTCAGGACCCTGCCGCTCTGCTCTGCTAGCCCTGCACTTTCCTCTCAGCCTACGGAGAGCTGGGGTCCCAGGGGGCTCCAGCCTGGCCAGAAATAGCCCAGCTTTCCAGGGAGGGAGGCTCTCTTTCGGTCTATGCTCTGTTCCAGTCCCCTTGTAGCACCACTGGTCAGCAGAGCCGGTGGGCCCCAGGAAAAGGCAGGACCCATCCTGGGGGTGGGGGTGGGGGTGTGTGGATGGCAGCCGAGCACCTGCAGGGGGCTCACAGAGAGGGGAGCCAGGTCCTGAGGATCCTGTAATGGACCAGGGAAGAGGGCAGAGGGGAGAGAGGATGCAAGAGAGGAGAAACAGACTCCGGCAAGGGGGTGGGGTGGGGTAGGAGAGGTAGGTGGGAGCGCAGGGTGTCTTTCCCTCTGAGATCCCCACTGATCAATACCTGCCCACAAGGCCAAGCCAAGGTCGGGAACCTTTGGCCCACAGCCGGGGGGAGCAAGTGAGATCAGAGCAGACAAGCCCGGGGGAGCAACAAGCTGATACCTAGGTTCCTTCCAGCCCTGGCCTTCTGACAAGAGCCTTCCCCACGCCGGGCCAGGGCCAGGGCCAGGCGGACGGAAGGAAGGACGGATGTGGATGAGGGGAGCACTCAGAATCCCAGAATCTAAGTTTAGCACAGTGCTCCGGCCTCCCTGGCTCACAGTGAGCAGTGAGCAGTGAGCAGGGGGGTCTGGCCGGCAGGAGCCTCCCTCCCTGGGCCTGGGCTCCTGCTTCTGATGGAGATGGTTCTACAAGCCAGGCAGGGACAGCGGAGCCCGAGCTCCTGCACCAGCAGGGCTGGGCGGGAACCAGGCCTCCCTTCCTTTCCATGTTAGACAGGGACACACCGAGCTGGCTTAGTGACAGAGTTCCGATTCCCCACAAAATAACCCAATCACTGCCATCGAGTCATTGCTGACTTATAGTGACCCACAGTGGGGTTCCCAGACTGTCACTGTTGACGGGAGTAGAAAGCTCCCTCGGAGCCGCTGGAGGGTTTTGAACTGCCGACCGTGAGGCTCGCAGCCCAAAGCGTACCAACTACACCACCATTGGATGAACTCACGCTATACGCTGGTTGACTTGAAGCAAGTTCCTCAACCTTCCATGGACTCGGGTTCTGCCCCAGGAGAATGGGGATAAGTTCGCTAATCTCAGATGCCACGTGTCCGGCAACAAGCCCAGTGCCAAGCCTGATGAACGAGAGTGCTTATCCTTCTCCTCGCCACTGGGCATCTCCGAGGGCAGAAAGTGACCCGTCATGCGGGTCACCCAGAGTACAAAGGTGAAGAAAACAGCCCTGGCCCAGAGCCTGACTCTAGAACAACTGATTAACTGCAAGTTGGCCCTTGGAGGAAGCTGCTGTGGGGGCGGGGCTGAGATGGAGCCCCGCTGGAGGGCTGTGGGACCCCAGGGGCAACCACCCCACCCCAGGGCATGCAGGACACCCAGGCCCCGAGAGGAAGAGAGAAACAAAGCCTGCTCCAGGGAAGCCAGACTGATGGTGCGGGACGTGACCCCGGTCTCCAGGCCACCTCTCCTCTGTGACTTTTACAGCCAGGAAGTGTCACCTCACCCCTGCCGCTGGCCTGGCATGGGGCAGTGAGAGGTGGGCAAGTGCAGACCCTAGCTGGGCAGATGCCCTCTCCACAGCCAGCAGCCACAGGTGCCCAAGTTGTAGGTGGTCTTCGAGCAGGGTCTCACACTCCCTTCCCAGCGCCACACCCCACACCTGGGTGGTGGTGACGAGGCAGGGAAGAGTGTAAGAGGGCCTGGTTTACACACAAACTCCCTCCACCTGGAGTCTTGGTGGCAGGTCAGCCCAGCCCTCATGCTATACGAGGGAACTTCACAAACGCTGTGGTGTGCCCAAACTAAAGAGAACCTTCTCCTTATCTGCCCCAAGACTCGCCTGGACATCACAGAGGATGTAGCTACACACACTCACACACACACACACACCACCACCACCACCCCCTCCCCACCTTTCCATCTTTCTCCTCTGTTGGAATCCCCCTGGACCTTCTGTCAAATATCAGAAGAAAGGGTCTCCACAAAGAATAAAGAAATCGATGGGTCTGCAGAAACCGGAGGCGCCAGGTAGGCCAAGGAAGCTACCAAGTCATGACACCTGTGTGAGCCTCAGTTCCCCCTCAGAAACAGGTTTTTGTCCTGCAGGATGGAACGTGAAGATTACATGAGCTCATCCAAGAATCATAGAACGGGAGCCAAGCAAGCAGCCTACTCTGTCCTGAGGTGGTGCTCTGGGCTGGTGTCCAGGGGGGCAGTGGGGCGGGGGGGGGGGATCCCAGGGTAGGCTGTCTTTGCTTTGAAGCCCAGGTCTCGTCTGCATTGGCTGGCACGATACATAGGAGTCTCTCCAGTTGCCCCTGGCAGAAGCTGTAGCTGCAAGAAACTTTCGAGCCGGCATGTGGACTCTTGAATCCTGGGTTAGTGTGGGGGTAGGGCAGTTGTCCACACCATCAGACCGTAGGGTCTCATGACCCTTCCTCAGCCCTCCCCTCCAGGCCCACCTCTTTCCACTAGCCACAAATTAGTACCGGCCCTCCCCAGGCCTCCTGCTGCCTGCCCCACCCCTACACACACCCCTAGCTGCCCTATCTACCCTGTCTTCAGATCCCGGCCAACCTAGTTCCAGTCCAGAGGCTGCCCTCTCTGAAGGAGGCAAAGAGGCATCTAGATGGGAGGACTCCCTCGTAGCTCAACTCACAGGGTGGCTTGGGGTGAACCCCTCCCGTCGGGGTTTCAAGCAGCTGGCCCTTCTGGGAAATGAGGAAGCATTTTAGCATGATGTCTACAAGCCTCCCAGCTCAGACATCTTCAGCTGAATCTTTTTTGTGAGAAGCAAGCACCTGATAGGAACCAGCCCCGATCCTGGCTCTCCTGGCCTTCCCTGAAGAACCAAATCGAAACTAAACTCGCTGCCATTGAATTTATGCTGACTCCGTGGGTTTCCGGGACCATAACTGCATATGGGAGTAGAAAGCCCAGTCTTTCTCCCTCGGAGCACAGCCCAGTGAGTAGCCACTACTCCGCCAGGGCTCCTCTCCCTGAGGGACAGCAGCTTCAAACTCTGACAGAGCACCCTTGCCTCCTGGCCTGCCCATCTCCTTCACGTTACCCACTCCATGTGATGGTATATGGCCACCTCTGCTGGCCACCCGGCAGGGCTAGCTTGAGGCTCTCCAACTCTGTGACGCAGTTTCTGAATACAACATGCCTGTATATGTGCCTCCTACTCCCATAAAGAGTTACAGTGGCAGAAACCCACAGGGGCAGTTCTACCCTGTCTTATCAGGTGGCACCAACTCCATGCCAGCGAGTTTGGCTGTGGCTTCACACATGCTGCATCCCTGTTCCAAACCGTCCTGGTCGTCCCTCCCGTTCTACTCCTGCTGGTCCTTCTGGCCACCCTCCCCCTCCCGGGCTTCTCGTGAAATGCAAGGGAGACTGGGGTAGATGGAAGGGCCCCAGCCAGCCAGACCCCGATGAGGGGACAGCAAGTGGCCCTGGGAAGGGGGAGCCCCAGTTCACGGGGTCCACATCCAGAGTCGGATGTCCCAGTCGCCAAGAAATAACTCTCTCGGAAGCCATGAGCAACAAGGAAGGACGCAGCTTTTTTTTTTATTACAAAATATCTTTTATTGATAAAATAGCTCAGACTTTAAAAAACACACACACACCTGCGTGTCACAACAAGGAGGCCACAGGCTGCAGTCCCAGGGGGCACACGTATAGAGTGAGGTGGGGCTGATGTCACCAGTTAGCGCCCCCCGGGGACCCAACCAACACCGCCAGCCTCCCCGCGGAGCAATGGCCAGACCTCTGTGCTGCCACCAAGGAATGAGCTAGGTACCCTTGGCCCCAGGAGGGATTCCCCTGGGTCCCTCCATCAGGTTCACCCCACAAGGCTCCCTCAGCCCTGCTCCAAATCTGGGCAGGCCCATCCGAATCCCATGGGTGCCTGTGGCCAAATGTACTGAGTCCAGAAGCCAGTACCCCCCTGCGGCAAAGGCCAAGCAGGCTTCACACACTCTCCGAGCTTCCAGATGCTGCGTCCTGGGCTGGGGGAGAGGACCTGGGGGGAGAGGGCTCTGCAGGCCCAGCCATGGGTGGAGCTCCGGAGCAGAGTGAGGCCCACTTCCCAGAGGGCCACTTGGGGCTTGGAGAGCAACAGAGGCGCTCTGGCAAAGTCTTCCAGGCCTTTGCTCACCCGCCCCGCTCCCAGCCCTGCCCCTGCCTGGGGCGCTCTGTCCCCTCACCACAGGGGCTCATCTCAGATTGTCCCCAATGGTGTGGGTACTTTTAGCTCCCTTGGGGAAACAGCTGGCCTGCCTGGTGACACGAAAAACATTCTCCACGGAGGGGGCAGAGCGCCATTGAACACGCCCGCTCGGCCCTGCTCGGGACTGCAGTGAAAGGCGGAGGAGCAGTCACACAGCCTAAAGACGCAAGCCTTTGCAGGCACACGAACACCTTCTCCAAGAAAGCCTTGACCGGGCAGAGGGGTCCTGACTGCCACTCCCCGCTTCCAGTTCGGGGCAGAATGCGCACACCCTAGGCCCAGAAAAAAAGTCTACAGGAAGACGGGTGGTGGTAACAGAGAGAAAAGGGGTTTTTCATCCCGCCGGGTCAATCGCATTGGCTGGTTCACTGGTTAGTCCCCCCCTCGGAGCTCAAAGCTTGCTGGCAAGCCTTTCATCTCCCTGTGGCAAGTAGGCGGCAAGCTATTGTTGCCCTGTTTTTTTTTCAGGGGGTGAATGCCAGGGATCAGGGATCTCCCGTGGAGGCAGAGGCCAGGTCTCCAGGCTGCCCCACTGAGGCATCCAGGCACTGGCCGGCCTTCCAGAGGGGCGGTGGGAGGTGAGCACCCCAGTGCCTGGCTCTATCCTTTAAATGAGCCACAGATTCAAAAGCAGGCAGCAGGGGGAACAAGGGCCCAGAGACATTGCCAGCCCACAGAGCTCCAGCTTAGCCCCCTGATGGTGACTACAGGTGCCCAGCATGGGTGGGGTGAGCATCTTCATTGCTGCCTCCTCTTCCTCCTCCTCCACTTCCTCCTCGGCAGCAGGCCTCCCTGGGAAGAGTGGAAATCGGGCTTCCTGCTCTTTGCGGGGAAGATGAGGGAACAAAACAAAAAACACCACAAGCAAGTGGCCTGCCAGGGAACACAGAGAAAAGAAGCCCATCCATTGGCTTGTAGGGGCCTGGGGTTCAGGAGGGAGAGACTATTCTAGCCTGTCCTGGGCCACACACAAGAAGATCCAAGCCTCACCCTGCTGCAGGAGCTCAGGCAGGGCGTGGAGAAGAGGTCTCTCCAAGCCAAGGCAGCAGAAGGGAAGCTTCCAATGGACCCCATGGGAGCAGCACTTCCACCCTGGTCCCTGTCAGGAGGCTGTCAAGATGGGGCTGCAGGACCCGGGCAGAGACCAGAGGCCCTGGAAAGGTGGCCGCACAAAGCAGGGTGAGAAGTAGAATGGCCCTGGTGCCACCTGGTACCCACCCCACACAGCCAGCAGGCAGGCAGGCAGGCAGGCGGGCTCACCAGGCTGTCCGGGTCCACTGGCGGCAAAGGATCCTCCGGAAGGCACGGCGGAAGTCCTGGTTGAAGATGGTGTAGATGACAGGGTTAAGCGAGCTGTTGCAGTAGCCGATCCAGAAGAAGAACTGGAAGAGGCCGTGGGGCACCGTGCAGTGTTGGGGGCAGATGGCACCCAGGCTGTAGCTAAAGAAGAAGGGGAACCAGCAGAGGACGAAGACGCCAATGACCACGGCCAGCACAAAGGTGAACCGCTTCTCCCGGGTCAACTGGGTCCTGCGACGCCACCATTGGCCGCTTGCAGCACCCAGACCCCTGCTCAGGACCACCTGGCCACGTAAGGTAACCAGTACCCGAGTGCCCTGGGGCTGCTGCAGCTGGGGGCTGCCGGCGGAGGCAGGGGAGGCTGGCAGTGCCTCAGGCCCACCCTCTTCCTCCTCTTCGGCGTCCTCCTCTGGAGATATCCCACAGACACCCTCCTTCTGGCCCTGGCCTGAGTTGGGAAGGGCAGGCCAGTTGGGTGGCAATGTCACCACCCCAAGATCTTCTGGGGTCTTGCCCTCCTGCCCGGTGGGCTTAGAGTGTCCATTGACCTCTCCAGCAACAGCCAGGGAAGAGGTCAGGGTTGGCGGCTTGGTTGAAGCCCCTCCAGCAAGGGGATGGGGCTGCTTGGAAGCCCCACCCTTGGAGGCGCCCTGGGCCCTGGGCCCCCGCCGGTTGCTGCGCTTGGCGATCAGGTAGATGCGCAGGTAGACGAGGATCATGATGAGACAGGGTGCGAAGAAGGAGCCAATGCTAGAGGAGAGGATGTACCAGGCTTCCTGGTTGAGCCGGCACTGGGGGCGCCCGTGGGGCTGGGGGCCCTGGTCGCCCTTGTAAATGAGGGGCGGCAGCGAGATGGCTGCGGCGATGAGCCACACGGTGAGGATGATACCCTTGATGCGCCGCGGCGTGCGCTTGGAGTTGTACTCCAGCGCGCGGCTCACGGCCCAGTAGCGGTCCAGGCTGATGGCGCACAGGTGCACGATGGACGAGGTACAGAAAAGCACGTCCAGCGCCAGGTACACCTCGCACCACGTGTGCCAGAAGTACCAGTAGCCCAGCAGCTCGTTGGCCAGCGAGAAAGGGATGATGAGCGTGGCCACCAGGATGTCCGCGGCGGCCAACGATACCAGGAACAAGTTCTGCGGGGCCCGCAGCGAGCGGCTAGTCAGCACCGCCAAGATGACCAGGGCATTGCCGAAGACGGTGAAGAGGATGAGGAAGGTGGTGACCGCCGCGATGGCCGCTGTGGCCTGCACAGAGTAGGGCTCTTGGCGGGGCTCCTGGTGGGGTTCCTGGTGGTCCATGGCGGATCGGGGTGCTGTTGCAGGGGCGCTCTAGCCTGGGGGCCGGGGTGAGGCGCGCGCGCGTACTGCCCGCCCCAGCACAGCTGGGTTCGCTCAGACGGCCAAGGGGGCCCTCGGGAGCCCATGGAAGTGCTGCAGCTTCATGGCCCGGGCGAGTGGCACCTCGGAGGACGGGGGTCGTCCAGGTCCAGCTCTTCTACATCCTCTCCCCGGCGCCCGGAGTCCTGCGTCCTGGTCGCCCGCCCCGAGAAGTTTTCCAAGTTGTCTTGCTGCGGTCCCTGCTGCACCCGGGCGCGCGGTCCCACCACGAGGCTGCGGGGCGCACCCCGGGGCGCGGGGCCCGGCTGTGCTCGGAGGAGGCGCGGAGGCCGTGGCGTCCTCTCTGCTCTCCGTTCCCTCGCGTCTGGAGCCGCGTCTGCAGGCAGC